ACAGCTGTGGGCAAGGGAGGCGGGAAGAGTTTTTAGCTGAGCTGCGGTGGTAGGCTAGGCACAAGGAGGGTGGTCCAGGTGACAGGAGCTGCGGAGAAGGCTCGTGTAAGCCCATTGGTAAGATTGCAGGGGGAGCCTGGTGCCAGACAGTGAGAAGATGCAACAAGAGGAAGAGAGAGAGATGAGGATGGGGAAAGTCCTTGGAGGCTTTGGTTAGCAAGGGAGGCAAATGGGAACATGTTCCAGCTCTGCATGGGGGAGCCAGTGACTGGTGCTAGAAGTAGGGTAGGAGTTATGGGGGTTGCCCTGTTCTACCACGCGAGGAGTCAGGCAGTGGCTGACCCATGCTAGACTCTGGTAGGTTGTAGAGAGGCAAGAAGGCTAAGAGTGAAGGTGGCTTCAGCAGCTGATGATGTGCTTGTCTTGGGCAGGACTCCAGAAATGAAGAGGAAAGGTATTTACTAAAAAACTGTTTCTTTCTCCAGATCTGATATTCACCCACCTGTAGGAAGTTCTGATACAATGTTCTCAGGACAGAGCTCTGCTCTAAACCTTTTGATTAGGCAGTAAAGCATTGCTGGGGCCCTGTTTCCCTAAAGGATGGGAGCACAGAGCCACCCTGCGAGACCCCATAGGCAATTGCTAATGTAATTGCTAAGCATGCGGGTAGAGAACTGATACCTGACCTGGACAAACAGCTCCATAAATATCCATCAAATTGCCCGTGGCACTGCTGGATCTGCTTCGGCAATCATAGCAGTCACCAGAGCTAAGTGTGCAGTGACACACTTGTGTATGTGTGCTTCAGGTCCTGGGAGTTTGAAAAGCCAACACTGTGGGTGCATAATTTGCAACTTCCCACAAGTTGTTCAGCACTTTTCTGACTGTAGATGCACTTCAAAGGTATTGTTTTTGTGCGCCAGACACTTATTCTGAGCTCCACTGTATCTGTAACCATTAAATCTGTGGCTGAGCCTGACAGCTGATGGCAAACAGAGATTTAGAGAGAACCAGAAATCAAGAGATGGAAAAGACTGATTAGGTCATCTTGCCCACTTTGTCATCCCCAAGTGGCGCAGGCCTCCATCACAGAGATGAATTCCCTTCTGATTAAATCAGTCTGTGAGGGGTGCTGTGCTCTGAAAGGAATGGATTGCAAGGGCTAGGGACTCTCTGATCAAGGGAAGGGAAGACAGACCTGTAGTATACACATGCTGAGCCTGGAACGCAGTGACCCAGGCTCTGCCTTCATTGCTGATGGAGCACATGGGTTTAACTGTCTGCAGCAACCCCAGGCACCTGGTCTGTAAGTTTGCAGAGGGGGAGATGGCAGCTACCATGGCTGCGAACTTGCTCGGTGTGCTTTCTCTGATGCAAGAAACTCCACGTGTGGTAAATTCCACCAAGACTTTGGAAGAGAGTTACTTCTATACTGGCCAGACTCCCAGAGGAAAGACGAGGGCCAGTCAGTGTGCATCCCTGCTGGCTGAAATGGTAATGTCCCAATACACAAGGAACCTTCTCCCAGGCTCTCATTTCTTTCCCACCAACTTCTGCCCTTTTACTATCACTCTTGCACGCTCCATCCTATTGCTTCCCCTGCATGAAGGGGCTGTCAGAGGCCACCTTGCCCTGTGTCTACAGTACAACAGAAGACTTCAAAGTGAACTCAGCCAGCTTTAGCAAGCTTCCCTTTCCTGTGCCCGTGCCCCTGCTGTTCTCTGCAGCAACCTCCAAGAGAGTCGGTGCCAATGGTAGTCAGCTTCACCATGTGTTTGTGTACTGCCATAGGGCCCTGATCTGGCTTGAGGCCTTTGGCACTACAGTAGCATTAATAATAGTCGCTGAGTTTCCCTTTGTAAAGTACTAAAATTCCAGGACATTTCTGCCTCCCTCCCAGCTCCCAAAATGAACATTTATTAGGCCTCTCCGGTTCTAGAAGGATCCATAAAATTCATCTTCCCGGTGGATTAATTTAATCAAATAACAAATTTCCTTTTTGAAAATACAGAGGCAAGAGGAATTTTAAAACTGCAGGACTATATATTATCTTTGGGGCAAAGACTGTGCCTTCCTGTGGAAAGTGCACAGCACATTTGGGACACTGCCATGGCATAAATTACGGATGACAATAATACAAGAGAGCATTCCAAATGCTTGAGATACAGGATCATGGTCCAGCCAGAGGACCTGGAGAAAAAATTCAAAAAAGAATCTAAGTCCTATTTTCAAAAGTAATATATACCTTTATGAGCATGAATCTCCGGACTTTCAAGGAGACTTAGGCTGTTAAATACCTAGGGCAATCCTTAATGAGGGTGCCATGGTACCCTGGAGTGCTATGAGATCTTGTAAGAGTACTGTAGGATGCTGCAAATGTTACAGCAGTTAGGTGTGCAAACACCTAAGCCTAAAGAGGTGTGCCTTGAGTCTAAAAAGGTTGAGAACCACTGCTCTGAGTCATTTTTGAAAATGGGATTTATAAGCCTAAATCACTTAAACTACTCCTCGTTGCATATCTACCGGGGAATTGCTTTCCTGGTGACATGTTGGGGGAGCAGCCTGTAGCTCCTAGCCGTCTCAGGGGGAGTTGTGTGTGCATCCAGAATGGATGGGTTGGAGGTGAAGGGCAAGCAGAACCAGCCAAATCTAGGAATTTCTGTTTCAGTCATCATTTAGACGTCTCAGAAGTTGCCTTGGTTTCAGTTCAGATAGAAATTCAAAATAAAAATATGCGTGTGTGTTTGGGATACTTTGTTCAGAAAAGAAATTTCAGAAGGTATGTCTAAGGCTCAAAAATTCATTTAAAATTTATTTTCTTTTATGTTTTTAATTTTCTTATATTTAGCTTATTTTACAATATATCAGCAGTAATGTGACCTGCCGTGTCATGTCGCATCATAATGTACGCTAAAGGTAAAAATATTCTGTAATTTTATTTCTTAAACCTTCAGGGTAGCTGCTACTTAGTACAGATTGAAACATTTTATGTTATTTTATAGATCAAAGCATGTCTTGTTTGTGTTGTAATGAAATGTCAAACTGTTTCATTAAAACACACACAGGAGACACTTTGATCTACGAAATAAGATATTTCGGTCGGTACTAAGTAGCAGCTGCCCCTTATATTTTTTTTTTAAATTAGAACAATAGAATATTATTATTATTATATGACACATTTTGTTGTATGAGGATTTAAATGTCCAGGTTATGACATCCTGTGGTATATATTACTGCTATTGAAATGTCATGGAACAAAAAAAATACAAACAAAAAAATTAAAACAAGTAATTTTGAAAGAAAAAAAAATCAAATTGTTAACAACAATTTTCCCAAACAACTGTGTACATTTTCAGAAAATGAGTTTTTATGAGAAATGCTGTTGCAATCAATACAATTCAGCTAAAGAAAGGCAATTTCTTTGAAACTGTACTTTTGAATAGAAACTTGTTTGACTTAACAGAATCTTATTTCACCTAATGGACAGCCAGACGGCAGCTTGAGACTAATTCTGAGTTACTCAACTAAACCATAGGAGCAATTCTGTTACCCCCTCTGGGAATTTAAGTGTCCCCTTGATAGAAATAAGTAAATATCTGAGTATCTCCAAAGGGAGATCCTACTCCTGTCATAGTGTCATTTATGCATCCAAAAGGGTAATAGTATCACTCCTGCACTTTAGTCAGGTAACTCAGAGTTGGTTGCAAGCTGCGCTTTGGTCCTCCACTAGGTGAAAGTGGGTTCTGCCTGAAGTTTCTGAGCAAAACTTGGGAGATGTCAGCTTAGTTCCCAGGTCATTTGGTGCTTTGGCGTCTCCTGCCATCCTTTGTCTGTTCAAACATACTACTCTTCAGGGTGGAGCCTGCCTCTCCTTTTGTGTCTGTATAGCATCCAGCCCAGTAGGCCCTGATCTCAGTTCGGGTGCCTATGCAGGATTGTAAATTCTATGAATGAGTTACCGAGGTGATCCTCCTCTGTTTTATTCCAGGCCCAGCGCTGGCGTAATGAAAACTACGAGAGGCCTGTGGACCTGGAAGGGTCCGGGGATGACGACCCCTTTGCTGATGACGAAATGGATGATCTCTACTCGGGGTCTGGTTCAGGGTGTAAGTAAAGTATAAAGAGAAGGGGACCCAAGATCCCAAGGCTGCATCCTGGGAACTTTGCCATTGACTTCAGTGGGACTAGAGCTGGGCTCAGTAGGTGACCAGCAAATCTGGAAAGGAATCAATTTGTATACTACCCAGCCCCAGAAGAAAATTCTTGCTCCCATATCTATGTTGTCATAGACATATGCCCTCTACCAAGCTCAAGGAGCTCATTTCCATGTGGCTAGGTTCCCCAGCTGGCATCCATCCCTTGTCTTAACAAACCAGCCTTGTACCTCTGCAGGTGGACAGTATTTAACAGGATGCACTGTTCCTTAGAGCCAGACTCTGCCTTGAGGATGCCTGGCAGCCTGCGCCCCATCCTCTCTCTGTAATGAAACATTGGAGTTATGCTTGCTGGCTTCAGGGTGCAGAGCAGAATGGAGGGTGTTTGGTTTGCTCAGGCTTCTGGACTTCTTTGGTTGCCACATGGGGCCAAGAAATATATATTTTCCCATCCTGTTGCTATAGATGTGAGGGTTTTTTCACCTTCCTCAGAAACTGGGTGTTGGCTGCAGCCAAAGGTAGAAATTTAAACCCCTTCCACTCAGGATCAGACCGACTACCACATTTGGGATCAGGAGGGAATTTTACCCTATGGTCAGGTTGGTACGGAGTATGGGGGGAGGTTTTGGCTTCCTCTGCAGGGAGAGGCATGACCTTCTTCCTTGGCTTTCTCAAGTGTATTTTAACAATGCTTACAATGGCAGGACACTGAAAGCCCTTGACCCCCTGCTTTACCTGTAGCATGTTTGGGTGCTTTTGGTGTCTTTAGGCTACATGCCTTGCAGTTGTGTGGCAGGGTTGATTGTGCAGTTTTAAGACCAGTTTGTGTAGTTTTAGACAAGGACTTGTAGGGTATGGTTTGGATATTGATGATTGTGCCTGAGCCAGGGAGTTGGACTAGATAACCTCCAGAGGTTGAGGCTAGCCAGAAACCCTTATCTCACTTCTGGGGCACACGGCCATGACTTCCTGGGGTAAAGCAGGCTTGGTTCATCTAGGGCTTTGGTTGGGAGGTAGCACGTTCACAGCCCGCACTTGTTCTTTCATGTAGATTTTGAGCAGGAGTCGGGGATTGAAACAGCTGTGAGTCTCACCACGGACACTTCCATCAAGCTCCCCACCACTGCAGCAGTGCTGCCTGTCACATCTGTCCAGCCGGTGGCAACTCCCTTTGAAATGTTCCCAGCAGAAGACACCACCCTGGAGCAGGTGACCAGTGTCTTGTATATCCCCAGGATGACAGAGGCACCAGTGAGTCCCACCTGGAAAGCAACTACCACCAGTACTACTGTCAGCATTACCCCTATTATCACTACAGCTGCGACCACTGCTGCTGCTGCCGCCACCACCACCGCCACTACCACCACAGCTCCCACTGCCAAGTCAACCACCATCCGGAGGATCCTGCCCCACTTTGTCACAACGGCAGCTACAACACAGGCCACCACCTTAGAAACCCCCACCACAGCTATGATGGAAGTCAGCATGGCAACAGAAGCTGCCACATCCCGCCTTGTCACCACCAGTGCCACAAGGCCTAGATCTGTGCCAAAACCAAGCACCACCAGGACCACAGACTTGACAGAGAAAAGCACCACGCTGCTGCCTGCTGCTGCTACTGTGGCACCTACAGAGGCACCTCAGGTATGAGATCAGGGCTTACAAGCTGCTCCACTGAAGGGCTGGATGATTAGTGGGCATTAGCTGAAGTTCACTGAGGTCAGTGGAAGGACTTTTGTTGACTTCAATGGCTCATGCCCATCTGCAAGTTGACAGGGAATGATGGGATAGAAATTCAGTTTAGGGTAACTCAGCAGTGGAAAGGCAAGGACAAATCAGGGGGATCTCAGAAGGGAGCCACAATAAACCCGGGGACCCAGAGGGCTCAGAATTCAGGAGTCAAGAGAGCCACAGTATGAGACAGTACAGGCGGATAGAGGAGGCTGGGACTGAGCAAAGAAATGCAGACTGCCTTGTGGATGACATTTCCAAAGGAAAAATCAGGTGTAAAGGGCACCCAAGGGCAGTGGTAGATGCTTCCCTGCTTGAGTCCCTTAAAATCCACCAGGACAAAATACTTGACCACATCCTAAATGTGGATGGGCCATAACTGCTAATGAAACATCAGGGAAATAGGTGCTTTGGCAATGTCTGAGCCACAGGAGAGAGAGAGGTTTATTTATCTGAAATGCAGCAGCAACGATGTCAGAGATCCTCCCCTAAGGGGTTAGGGACCTGTGTTGCACTTGATTTGCAGCTTGGAGTTAGGCGATGAAGCTGCTTCTTTCAAAATCAGAAGGTGGGTCACTTTGTTCTTTTGGGAGGATAAAAGGTACCTCCTTTTTCATCCAGTAGCTCAGCAGTTAGAGTATTTGCCTTGTCTGTGAGGGACCTGGCATTTATTTACCAGCTGGAGGGGATTCAAGCACACATCTGCTGCCTTCTAGGAGGTTTGCAGCCACCTCCACCCACTTACTGGAAAGAGCCACTGTGAAAAAAATAGAATGAAAGATTCATTGGGCCAGAAGAGAGAGCAGGGGGTACTGACTCTGAACCCAACTGAGGGGTACTGTGCTGGGAGAGGAGAAGCCTGGGTTTTCATCCCTGCTTCCAGATCTGTCTCTGGAACTTATCCAATGACTGTTTAATGCTATAGTACTGGAGGATGTGCTCTAACCACTGCACTATTGGAGAAAAGGGGGGTCTACTTCTCTCAAACATGCTTTTGCATAGAAATGGTGGTAACTGCCATGTCTTGCACAAAGCTCAATTCTGCTGGCGCAGGTGCTGGGTATTCTGAGCACACCTACTGAGACTGGGCCTTTAGCTCCTGCATCCTGACTGGGTTTAGGAGTGTAATAGGCACTAAATTGCTCAATCCTGCCAAGAGGGTGCCCAAGTATGGGCAGAGGTTTATGGATTTAGGAGGTTTACTGGTTTTCACTGGCTTGGGCTTCCCAGGGGTTTTGAGGATCACTGTGTTGGAAGACTCCTAAAGCTTTCCTTGCATAAGCAGGGGCTTGAACCTGGGTTTCCTAAGTCTTAGGCCAGCTGCATAATCACTAGACCAATTTTCTGCTCAGTTTTATTACTCTAGGGAATCATTTTGCATTGGCAGGATCATGTCCTCTGAAGTCGTACAGTTTCTTCCACCTCTAATGCTCAATTCTCTGACCTTTCCTAGCGTTTTGCCACTGTAGTTATACCAGAATAGCTAAACTGGTAAAATCCCACAAATATGGATGTAGCTATCCCACTCCACTCTGAGGGCCCTGCTGGAGATAATACTATTTGTTTCTTAGCCATTGCTATTATGCCCAGAGCTGTGTCATTCACAGCAGATTAGGAGACTTTTGCAAGCCAAGCATAGCCATATAGTTAGGAGAAAGTGTTCAAGAATCCCTGTTACAGGGCCAGGCAGACTGAGGAAGCCAAGCATTTTCTTTTCCAGGAGCCTGGTTTATGCAATGATTGTGTCCATATACAACCATGTTAGTTAGGGGGCAGCTTCTTACCCATAGATTTACACCAGTACAATCCATATTAAAGAGACACTTATACTGGTATGAAGGTGTCTGTGAAGAGTCAAGTTAATTCCTTCTCTCATGTGTGGATAGCTCTCCTGGCCTGGGCACCTCTTTATACTAGCGTAGCTGCATCGGAACTGGAAGGCAATGGTTGTACTGGTTTGACTGCACCAAGGCAACTGTAAGTGTCACACCGTTTGTATATAGACAAGACCTTCAGCACAGGGCTCAGGGCTGTAATGGGCACTGGCTTGGTGCTCAGGAGGGGATTTCACCTTGAAGTCATAACTGGCAGGGTTGACTCCCACTCAGGAATCCAGTGCCCGCTGCTCCCAGGCTGGCATTTGCAAAGGAGGCAGTTACAGTGCCCAGCTCCCACTCAGGTCAGTGCCTGTCTCCCCTGAGGATCCCAGTTTGGGAGCAGGGCAAGCACTTCTGTCCGTGCTGCACGACACTGGGATACACGAAACACTGCCACTGGGGAGCTGCTTAACCACATTCAAATAATAATGTAAAACCCCTGCACATCCCTCCCCTTATCCCTCTATCCATTTAATCCCTTTATCCTCATGTTCAGCATTTGTCTGAGGAGAAGCTGTCCATTGAGAAGTGAAGGTTTCACAGTGGGATTCAGCAACATGCATTTTGCCAAACAGAAAAAAATACAATGAAGAGTATGATTTTTTTTTTTAGTTTAATGATCTAATGATTAATCTTTGCTAAGTAAAGTGATGCATCAAAGAGGAATCCTTCCAGAGGTAGAAGTCTCCTCAAAGGTTTGAAAGGGGCTCCTGGACTCTTGTCCCTTGTGTTCTCAGGCAAACACGTGTCCAAATCAGTCCCTAAGAACATCTCTTGGTTCTGGCCCCAGCTCTTGCAGCTTTTCTGTACTTTTAACTTATCATTCACTGGATACAAAAACCCCTCAGCAGTGAGATAGTTTGTGCTCTATTTGGGAAGAAGGGCCAAGACCCCATGTATCCAGGGTGGCATCCTTTTCACTGGGTCTCAAATTTCTTTCCTTCCTGGTTGCCCAGTGTGCAAGTTTCAAAAGGGCCTGGAGGGCGCTGTGGGCAATGTCGAGCCCCTGGCCAGGTGATGAGAGCACTTTGCTGGGGAATGAGAGGTGCAAGCTCAAATCCCTTGTGAGCGAGACCCTGGAGCTTGCGGCTCTCAGTCTGTGCACATGTGCTCTAACTGCTAGGCTATAAACCTGAAGGGCAAGAGGGTTTCCACCTCCTGTGTTGTATCTTCCCTAGTCAGGGTGCTTCTGCAGCTGAGGTTGGGGGCAACACAGGGTTATGTTTGTACCCAGGTGGTTTTGTTCTGCCTCAGAGCCTATTCTGAGCCTGTTCTGGGTGTAGGTACACAGCTGTACGTAGGAGCCAAAAATTGCAGTTACACAGCTATGTAAGTGTCACTGAGGTGTAGGACTTAATAGGACTTAGCTTTTGTCTCTTATTTTACTTTTCTTCCCTAGTAGTTTCTTATTATTCTTTTACTTACAGGGGTAGGCTCTAAATTGCCTCTTACTTAGTTATTTGGGAGTGCAATTGCACAGGCCGTTTCTGAATGGCCGAATTTGGGTTGGCGACACTCATTTCTATTTAAAAAAAAGTCTCAGGGCAGGCAGGGCACCATCCCCACCTCTGTGTTTTGCTATGAGTAAGGGCCAGACTAATCCCAGACATGCTGACATTTATCCTCAGATTGTTAAACCATAAACGGCAGAGTCAAGGAGAGAACGTACCAGCCTTGCACAGGGCTGACCTGGTTTTTATCACCACTGATTTGGTTCAGACGAAAGCTTTCAAGGGCTCGTACGCTAGCACAGACCTCTGCTCCTGTGTTATTCTATATCTTTTGCCCTTTACACAACAATGAAAGTATGATGTACTGTACCAGCAATCCAGGAACAGTGGGGCTCAAGTAGCCATATTTACTAGCTGTACAAAACATGTAAGACCCAGCTACAAATACACACTGCAGCTCTAACTCTAATATCTCAGACACAATGGGCACCACTAGTGGGTTCACAAACTATTTAAAGGGGTAGTATCCTATTCCTATGCTCTTTCCCTTTGTCCCTGGGTCTCTGCCATCCCCAGTGCCCTTCTTGATCCATTTGGCCCCTTGGCTAGAACACGTTTCTGTGGAGCTTCCAGTTGCCTGGTTGGTGTTTTGGAGTCACCTGTTGAATGCCTTTTGTAGCCAAGCTCTGTCCAAGGGAGAGTGGGCAGCAGGTTAGGATGTTGCCGCAACACTTCCCAGTCTGTCCTTGCGTGGTGTCTCCCAAAAACAGGCATGCAGTGTAGATCTGCCTGGTAGCAGTGGCATTTCTCTCCAGGCTGCCACTGCCACAGGGTGAAACTGTGCCCTGTTCAGCTCCCAGAAGCTTCCTGAAAACAGGTATGTGGGGCAATTTCCCCCAGTCACGGCAGCAGAAGTATCTTTGGTCACAGCACCCCTGGCAGATTCTAGCAGCAGCTTGGGATGCTGCAGCACCCCGGTTGAGAACCTGTGGTCTAGAGACAAAGGATGTGAGGGGAAACAGAGGCACCAAGAAATGCTGTGACTTACCCGAGGTCACATAGTCACCTTGGTCACATGGTCGCAATGCTAGAACCAGGACCTGGGTCCCAGAGCTGCTAGCTTGAGTCCCTACCTGCTCAACAGCACTGGGGGATGGAAGTCAAATGCCTCTGCACTGTACCAGCTTCAGTCTCTTGTGGGTTGCAGAGAGAGAGTCTCTCCTCTGTATTTTATAAGCTCATCATACCATCATCTACTCACCACCTGGCAATTCAGAAGCCCAAACACTCCACAATTATGCAGTTATGGTGTTTTTCCTGCCCATTGGGTATCATAAGCAGGCGGGGGTGGGATTTCATTTGCTGATGTATCTGATTCAGAGGCCTTACGGGTCTGCTCGAGAAGCGCTTTGACTGAAAGGTAGAGTTATTTGTTTAAACTAGTTCTTCTTTTTTCCATAGCTCTGGGCTCCCTCTGACCTTCAATTAATCTCTGTCACAAAAGGATAGCAACAGTGTGCTTGTGGCAAGCTAGAGAGCCATGCAGCATATTTGAAAGGCAGGTCCATGAAGGGAGGGCTCTAGCATTGCCTTGTCTAGCATGAGAAGGCAGCCATACTCGTCTTGAGGCCTGGAGCCCGAGTTCTGCACAGGACGCCTAGCTAGGCACTGTGGTCCCTGATAAGTAATGCAAGAGAGGAGAGAAGGAGTGAGAGCATGTAGCATCTTGGTGCAGGGTGTTCCAGCAGGACTGGGCAAGATCAGTCTTAGTGAGAGCCACAGGATTTGGCCTGTAGAAAGCCAGTCAACCTGTAGTATCAGACCCACTGGGACCTGATGCATGAGTCCAGCTGCACCTCAGGCCTGCAGAGTGCTGGTGGGCAGGTCAGCCTGCAGGATGAGGCCTGCAGCAGGGAACTGGTAGGTAAGTTAGCCTGTAGGATTGGGCCCAGAGGGAGCCTTAAGTAGGCTGGTTTGCAGGACCGGTCAGTCTGCAGGTACAAAGCCAAACCAGGTCCAAGTTGCAAAGCTTGAATCCACGTCTGAGCCTCAGTTCAGGTGTGTGGCAAGGTGCAGGGGCCACTACCAAGGCACCAGCAAACAAGGTTGTGGTCCCACCATCACAACACATGGGACTGAGTGGGAAGAAAGAGGAAAGAGAGACCCCTTTCAGGAAGGTTGGGCTCCCCAGGCGGGGGCAGGGGGCAGGACTGGACCCAGGCTGAGGAGTTTTTTTGGTGACACCAAACTCTTGAACGTTCTTGTTGAAGACACTGATGTGTCGGGGGGAGGTACCGGCTGGTGGTGACCTGGTAATCTACCAGTCTGTAGGGCCCTCCTACCCCATGAAGGCAGAAACAGGGTTCATGTAGAGTCAGCGACCCACCAATCCTGCCTGGGAAACAGAAAATCGTTCTGTGATCTCCCTGTACAATTCTTCCCCAGGGCGTTTCACTATGCACAAATGCAGGAGCCCTCGCTGCCTTTGCAGTTCATATCGTCAGGGGCTGGAAGCTCATAAACACCATGGGGCAGACTCATGGTTGCCTGTAGCAGGGAAGAGAGGGTACACAGATTTCCTCATGCTCCACAGGTCATAGTTGCTACCAGAAAAGAGGCGACAAGATCAAAACGTTGTCCACACTTAGGACACTTAGGTCCACACAGGTAAAACACACCAGCTTCTGTAGCCGGCAATGCAATGTAGCTAATACCGTGCCCAGTTAGTTACCCGTGACTGCTCATACCATTTATAGCTGAGTAAGCTGGGGTCAGCCTTCAGCACAAGTCTGGATGAAGGCCCGACCTCATGCCCCTGGATCTGTCTGCGGAAGCCTTAACTTAAGAAATATAGTTAGCTGAGATTATTCAACTGCAGCCTTTCCCCACCATTGTAGGGGGTTTGCCCAGAAAGAAAACAGGAAAATATCATTTTAAACCATTTTTTCAATGGGAATTTTCAAACCAAAATTTTTCATTGCGTTTCATTTCAAATTGAACCTTTTAATTTGGTATTAGAATAGGTCACTTTGTTCCTCTTTATCGTTACTCTTTTTTCCCCCTGTTGTGTCACTGGCATCAACAGAAGGAATGATGCTTCGATTTTTTGCCCCATTTCTCCTTTTTCATTTTTAGCCTCTTTTTCAGAGCAACTATTTTAACTTTCTCCGACCTTGAGAAAGTCCTTGAGTGGCAGCAGTGCAGCATTTTTGGTTTTACTTTTGCTGTTGGGTCACTTTTTTGAGTTACAAGAAGTTTAAAATGCTACAGCGTGGGCAAAAGGGAGGAGAAAAGAAAAGGCAGAAAACCCTTGACATTTTGCATTTTCTTGCTCTGAATGGCAACAAAGAAAATGCCTGGAGGGCATAAAATTGCCAATCTTGAAAAATCCAAATGTATCAGAAGATTATTTGGGGAAAATTTCTAAAGCACAAAAATGGCTTCACTTTGGACTCAGGGAAATGGAAAGATTTTTTTTTTTTCCACAAAATTGTTCTTCCTTGCTCTAGATCTAATGGGTGATGGACAGAGAATCCATTGATAAAACATCCACAGGTCTTGGAGCAGCTGGGACTCAGGGCTTTGTTCAGTCCATTGTGACAATGGGAGAGTTTGCAGGTATTGGGTCCAGGTCTAGGCTGGAATCTCGATCAGGTCTGGTATCAAGGGTATTCAGAAGAGAGTGAAGGATATTGGGGTCCAGCCAGACAGGTTTAAGTCTGTGTCCGCATTAGTGTTCATCACCAAGGAGGAATCTGATTCTCATTGAAGCCAATGGGACGTTTCAGTGCGGCAGGAACATTGGTTGACCCATCTACCCAGTGTTGTGCCTCATGCCTCCATGCTCAGCCAGCTTCCCAAATGGCACCACGGTGCAATAGCCGCCCCGACTCCCAATAGTTTCCCTGCTGGACTGAGGCAGTGGGAGTGAGATCTAGCCGGGTCCAGGCAGGACAATGCTGCAAAGGCTTCTACAGGCACCATTTCTCCTCCAAGGCAATGGATGACTGACTGTGTCCCTTACCCTCTGCTTCATCTCATTCTCTTTCACAGACAGAGCCGCTGGATGTGTCCACAGTCATCGACAATGAGCTGGAGGTTCCCGTCAGCGGAGGGCCTAGCGGGGACTTTGAAATCCATGAGGAGGAGGACACCACTCGGCCGGAGCTCAATAATGAAGTGATCCCTGCTGTTACCTTGGCAGCGGGGCCGGGACTGGGGAAGAATGCAGAGCCCGGCCTCATAGACAATACGATAGACTCTGGGAATTCAGCTGCGCAGCTGCCTCAGAAGAACATCCTCGAGAGGAAAGAAGTGCTAATAGGTGAGGCCCGTGTCCCCTGGTAACTCTGCCCCAAACCAAGACTGCCCACCTCTCTGCAGTCTAGAGCAGGTGATGGAGGGATTCTCCTTGGACTTAGAAACCTGCATCCCAAGTAGATAGGTCCTTGCACATGCTCTGCTAACTTGTTCCCCCAAAGCAGCCTGGCATCTCTCCCCTTTTCTGGATTGTCCCCCCATACTGTACTGAGGCAACACATGAGAGCTGTAAAAGTTCTTCTTTCCTACTCACCATGATAGAGGACAGCCTTAGGAGGGCTTGCACAGCTTCCCTTGCAACCACTGTGGACAACTTTCCATACTCAGGGTTTTGGTCTCTCACCAAAAACCGACAAAACTGCTCAAATTTCCACTTGGTTGAAAAAAGTGATTTTCTATCGAAGACGATGTTTTGATGGACAATGTGTAGCCAGCTCATGTCTTGGCTCATTGGCTCTGTGCTGTCAAACTGCCTAGTCTGGGGTGTTTGCTTTCTTGCGTGACTCTCAGGCAATGTCTTCCCTGACAGCGTCCAGTGGCTGCCTCTGTCATTCTCCCACGGGCTCCCACTTTCCTACCCTAGAACATAATGGCCAACAACTCGCTCTTGTTTGACTTGGTGGTAATGTCAGAGCTGCTACATGGGCTGGGTGCTGAGCTGTTGGGCAAGGCGCTTGTGGGTATATGGGGCATTGGCTAAGTCAAGCAGATGGCACCAGGTCTACCTACACTTCCACTCTGCACTTGGTAATTAGAAGCCCATAGACTGACATTCCCCTCCCAGTTAGCAAGCCTGGTACTCAGGGCATCCCCAAGCCAGGATCATAGTGACACAGTGACATCTCCTACCTTGGTATGCAATCTGTTACTATATAGGAAGAGTACTTTCTGTGACCCATAAGAATAGTATGTGTATTATGGTTTATAACTCTGTGGGCTTGATACAATTATTGTTGTTACACTGCCAAGTGACTTACTTCAAAGAGTAGCTTTTAGCAGGCTTTTTCCAAGATGGAAATTGCTCCCCGGGCTAAGAACCAGTACATATTTTTGCCATACATAGTCCTATAGGCTGACATGCAATCTGAGTGATGCACATCTTGCTGCTGATTTGAATGTCACCTTTAACACTCAGCTGTAAAGCCAGTTATGTAAGAATCAGTCTCCTGAGCCTGTGGGTGTTTGGAGATCTTCTCAAAGCCCTAGCTCCTGGAGTCATGTGATTCTGCCATTTTTTGTCAAACTGGAAGAGAGTTTCTGGACTTCCTGGAAACATGACTCTGCAGGGCTCAGGAACTAATAAGTAAATGAAATAACTCTTAAGTGGTCATTTTTAAGAATGTCCTGATTTTTGTTGTTCTGGAGGTTTTAATGGTGATCCTTGACTACGCGGGAATGGCAACATGTTTTCCGGACAGCCCAGGGTTTAGGCTACCTCCCTAACCAGTGCTTTCTTGTGCTCTGTTGCAGCTGTCATTGTGGGAGGGGTAGTCGGGGCACTCTTTGCTGCCTTCCTCGTCATGTTGCTCATCTACCGGATGAAGAAGAAGGACGAAGGGAGCTACACGCTGGAGGAGCCAAAGCAGGCGAATGTCACGTACCAAAAACCCGACAAGCAGGAGGAGTTCTATGCATAAAAAGAACCCAGAGTGCCTCTCTCCCTCTCTCTCTCTCTCTCTCTCTCTCTCTTTCTCTTCCTCTCTTTCTCCCTCTCAGTTTCTAGTTCAACCTTTCTATCTCTCTCCCTTTCTCTCTAGCTCATCCAATCTCTTGCTGTCTTTCTGATCGGACTGTGAGTTAAAAAGAAAAAAAAATCACACGTGCAACAACTAAAAAGCAAAGGAAAAAAAAATCTTCCATATAAAATAAATAAATACTAAATAAATGTGTCACAGATTTGAGCTGAATCCCGTTAACCTTCCTCCAGCGGAAGAAGCATTCACAGGGACCACAGCACGAGGAGCGAGCGGTCAGCTAACCTGTGCCTATGGGACAGTTCCTTGGATGAGCACGTGCTTGGGTGGGCATTTTGCTGCTGGTGGCTGGAGTTCACTGGGCTTACCGAACAACAGAACTGACTCGAAGATCTGGACACCCATTAACAGAACTGGGGTGTTTGGGGGTTTTTTTCCTGTTGGGGGTGGGAAGGGTTTCTTTCTATGATGTGGGGGGCTTGGTTTCTTACCAGGATTCGCTGCTCTGTGGTTCTGTTCAGAAAGAGGACGTGACTGTCAAAATATATTTCAAGCCTCAAAAAAGCACAATGAGATGAAATATCTTATGCTCCAGGATTGCCCTGGGAGTGAAAAATGACCAGCGCGCTGGAGACGAGCTTTTAGATCACCTCTGCTGAGAGTTCACATAGCTGCAGGGAGCCACAATTTTGCTGATGTGTGCTGCTCCCTTCCTGACACCGCCTCACTTCATTGCATTGCTGTGCAGAGCCAGAGCCCTTAAGTCTAGAAACCATGCTTCGTGGGCTAGCAAGGGGCTTTGGTTGAAAAGGGACCTTGTTTCTGCTGGGTTTTCACTGTGACGAATAAAACTCAGCTAGCATGGTATTCCCGACTGTTTGCAAACAAACAATACTGATTTTTACGTGAAATAGGATATTGTTTGGTGGAAATTGATGACAACTAAAGGGAAAAAAGGCTCAATCCTCTTCTGAGTTCCTTTCAATGGGATAATATTTGACAATCTCAACACACCACGATATGCAGCAGAAATAAAGAATTTAAAATCAAGGAGGCAGTATCTTTTCTCCTCAGATTTTGGGGCCTGACCATAATTTTTATCAAATAATAGGCACCCCAGGAGATTAAGAAAAAGAAAAAAAAAAAACAGACAAAATTAACTTTTCCAGAGTCACCATCAGGCCAGGTCAGTTCTACTCTATATCTTTTGTAAAATCCAGGATTGATATGTTCCTATGATCTATATATTTTTTAATTTCAGTGGAAACCTTACAGCGATAAGATGGGATCTAAATCCATTGATTTCCAATGGCTTTGGATCAGGTCTCCAGTGCACGGGAAACCAAAAGCAAGAGACTAGCAGCAACTGTGAACCTGACTACTGTATTTTTATCGTCTGGGGGGCTCTCATGTGAAAAGCAAACAAGTGCATTAGGGCCTGGTCCAGAGTCTAGTGAAGCCCATAGAAAACTCACGGCTTTGGATGAGGCCCAGAGCGTGGAAAAGTCAATTAGATGTTTTAATTGGTTGGTTTTAATAATCTAAAGGGCTGTTTACAAGGCAGTCAAGGAGATTGCTGTTTTCCTTGTAATGGCAGTTGTGATCCTGAGACATCCATCCCATCAAGGCCCTGACTTCCCTGTTATATTTATTAAAACAAGCAAGCAAAAAAGAGAGCCGTCACTTTTACTGCATCGCATCCTCGCATAACCGACGCTAGCGTGGTGTGACAGGCATTGTCCAGGGCTGCGCCAGAGGCAGGACTTCATGCATCTGCAAGCTAATAGGCTTAGCCCTTTAGCTCAGGCAGTCAAGGCTCATGTTGTATCCAGAAGACCTGTGTTTCATTTTGTAGGCACCCAGTCTAGGACCATACGTACCAGAGTTTTCTTCTGGAATGGCAGGTTTGCATGTAACTGGGAACGGGGGCATACCACCCCAGGGTGCGTTCTGGGCTTGTTTGGTAGGAAGCAGTGTAGAAAGTCTGCTCTGGGAGCTGGGAGAGTTGCTAGCACAGGCAGCAAAGTCACATCAGCTGTGTTGATGGGAGAGGGGAATCTCAGCCAAACCTGCACAGAGTGAGCCTTGTCTCCTGGCAGATGGTGCGACTAGAACCCATGAAGGAGATTCTGGGTCTGGCTCTGATCTTAGGCCAGCCTAACTCCACTGCTGCCAGCAGAGTTAGTCATGATAGATATCAGTTTAACTAGTAGCAATATTTGGCCTGCTGTCCCACCGCAGGCACAGAGGTCATAGGGAATACATCCTATAGCATAGGTGATGGAGTGGGAAAAAGCATTCTGACTCCCCTCTGCACCCTGAAAGCTAATGACTTTCTTTCAAATGCTCACTTTGTCCTTACACCTCTCCCTGCCCCAGCAAGAGGGGTTCTGCTCACAGCGCAGAGAGGTCCCTTTACGTTGGTGCTAAGAATTTCTCAGCTCCTGAGTGAGAACAAGCCACAATTTTGGGCTCTCTCAACAGGCCCCAGTTCCATGAGCCTGCCATATTTGTGGGCACCCACTTTCCAGATTGGCTTCTTTATGTCTGTCTCCACTATGATGGAGAGAAGGTTTCGTCTTGTTTCTATGATTCACAGAGTTTGCAACTCTGCTCTAGCACCTGGCAGCAAGGACTGCAAGCTATGGGCTGGTTTTCTTTAAGAAAATAGCCTCTTTGGAGTTATAAATTTGGAGGCCCAGAAGCTTCTGGGTGGGCTGATTACATAGCAAGGCCAGATAAAAGAAAGGCAAGGCCATTCAGGAATACAGAGCTATTTAGCTACATCTAACAATAAAGCCCTGGGCTTCTAGGCCATTTCATTATGCTGTGCACCATATCACATGGGGCTTTGTGATGATAAGACTGAGATTCTTCTGTTCTGTAGCACAGGCCGTTACCACTTGAGCAAAGGAAAATTTCCTGTTGGGTGTCTGCAGTATATGGACTGTGACCCTACAGATCATAGAGTCAGGAGCCCCTGCTTAAGGCAGGATCATCGCTGTCCTAAACAAGTGTTTGTGAGCTAAGCAGGGCTGATTCCATTCAATCGCAGGAAATGGATGCAAAACCAATTCATTCAACTATACATCTAGTGAGTGAATCTCAGAATAATCACCCAGTAGGTACACACAGTTTGGATAAGTGCATCCAAAATGTCAGCGCTTCACTGAACTACCTGACCTCTTCAGGCCTGAAAAACTCAGAGGAAGTCTTTTCTTCCTATAAAATTCCCAGTTTCCCTGGCCTCCTCCAGAATAGAGCAGCACCAGGCACAACCATGTGCGGGGTTCATTAGCAGGACGACCGATGCTTCCAGGAAGCTTGGAGCAAATCTGGTTCTACAGACAGGATGGAGGGTCAGGGTCTCTGAAGTGGTTTAAGCTTGAGAGTTTCAAAACAAAACTTCTATTTTTGAGCGTCTGTGGTAGGGCATTCAGCTGAGGACCTTGAAAGGGCCTGATTTTGTTCAGTGCTTTCTGAACAGAAGACCCCCTTAAAAGTGTCATGTCCAGCACAAATTCTGAGGCAACCCAAAAGCACTGTCCTTTTTGAAGGACCTGGCCCTAATGTTTCAAGTGTATATTAAAACCTTCTACTCAATCTTTTAAATTTTGCTTTTCTTAGCTTCCTCCTTAATCTTCTCCATGTTATTCCCCCCTTAATAGTCTGAAGTTCCGTAATACAGGTTTTTGTTGTTATTATTCATTCCAGCTTAACCTTAGACCTCTCAGCTGGTGTTAGATTGTAATCCTGGTACTTAAATCTTTTACACCTTTGGAAGTGAGCAATGATCTGAAAGTTGAGACTTACCGCAGGCTGAGGAAGGGTTCTTTCTTTCTCTCTTAAGAGAATTTAAAGTACAAAATTAGAAGAAAAAAAAAAGCAGCTAATTAGAGCTGACCAATGTCTTAATTTATTGTACAGTATATTTTACTCCCAGTCTCTTTCTTGGTCTCACTTGGACTGGGAAATAGAGGTGATCTCAAGGAGATTTTAGTTTGGTTTGTTGCATGTCTTTCTTTTCGTTACTAAAAATACAAAGATGACTCACAAGGAGGCCCTGCCACCAGCTGCAGCTATGCAGGACAGTAACTGAGATCAACAGCTGGATAAAAGATGTGTATGATGCCTTGTCTTGTCCCCATCTCCTTTTTCCTTGAGCTGAGGGACTGGACTATTCCTCTGTCCTAACTGGTAGAAGCAAATGATCCCAGAGTTGCAAGTAATTGAATACTGCCCAGATTTGATCCAAAGCCCAGAAAGACTCCCACTGAGTTCAGTGAGTTTAGAACTGCAGGTGAGGTTTTGAAAGGGGCTTGGAGACTCAAATCTTATTGACAGTCAGTGGGAGCTGGGCAGTGAAATCCTGCAGGCACGTTTCAAACTCCTGTGCTCAGTACACAAACTGGATTCTGGACCTTTGAATGGGATGGGTGGCATAACTTTGATCAAAGAGAGCTACAAGGATGGTAGAAAGTAATTGTCTTTGCCCAGACAAGGATTGAGTAATGAAGCAGGACGTTCATTAGGAAAATCTACCCATTTGTTAGGGGCACAGGAGGGCAGCAACATGGCTAGATGGCACCTTAGTTATCCTCTCTGCTTCCATTCCCTGCCCTCTTCACATCTGATTGAGTGTGAGGTGCTGAGCACCCCCAGCTCCCATAGGCTCATAGGCAAGAACAGAATCACAGCAATGACCCGGGAAGCCTCCAGTGTGTTCGGTGATTCCAGATCCATCCTAGCTTCCAGGTAATTGGTTTGGCAGTGGGTCCTGCAAACACAGCTTGTGACCTGAAGTTCTGGTTTTGTCCTTGCTGACTGTCATGACACCGCCAGTTATATAAAGTCTACCATGAAGACTGCCTTGAAAGTCTTCGCCATCGGGGAACGCAGCCATCCACTGCACCCAGGATGCTCTGAATCCAACTCATTGCTGCTTACTCTGCACTGACCCCTTGTTCAGAATGAATAATCTTTGACCCTTTCTTATCTGTTCCCACCTGTGGAGCTTCCTTCCTCTAGGTGCCCATGGGTTTTGGTGGCCTTTGATGCATGGCGACTGGTGCAGGTATTTGGCCTGGCTTTTGACTTTGCACTGACCAATTAGACTGTAACACTTCCGTGGAGCTGTAAAATGTGTCTTGGCAGCAGTAATGGTGCCTTTTCAGTGATCCTTTTTTGGGTAGCTTTTGTATCACTTAATTCAAGGGGGTCTGACACAGAGGCACACAGAGAACAACAGATCCGTGAAGTAGGAGCATCACCTTTTCCCGTCGTTATGTTCTGACCCAAAGCCACTCTTCTGAGTTCTGTCCCTTTTTGCTGTCTGGCTTTGGAAGAGGCTTTCTTGGTGGTAAGAGGAAAGAAGCTTGCTTGCCCACAGGCAGCAGGGTTGGTGCAGCAGGGAGACCAACTTCATTCCAGAAATATTCAAATTCCAGATGAGAGTTGCAAATGACCTGCCTCTAGACTTGACCAACCCTCAGCTTAGCATCCAAGCATAACTGAATACAGGAGATTTCAGTATTAGACCCTGCATACCTGGATATACATGGGGACTTAGGGTCTGCTGTACTTGGAGCATTAGTTCAATGCTCCCTTCCAGCCTGGGGTAAGGATCCAGGCTGAGTGCTCTGAACCTAGGCAACACCAGCTATCGGCTGCTCTGCTTTTCTCACGGTGGAGGCAATCCTGCCAGAGAAACTCGCCTCAAGTGCTCTAAGTCCATTCAAAGGCCTGGGGCTCTGCATATTGTTGAGTCTGGAGGAACCACAGGGAAAGCCTTTGGGACAGGTCTGGAAAGCAGTGGGGAGTGTTGGCTTTGGCACCACTACAGGAAGTCTTTCTGCCACAATCAATTCCTGCGTATTTCCATGTTCCTCTTTAGGTGTCAGTCCTGGTTGTGAAGTGCATGTTATGGTTGTCTCTCTGTTAGGAAGTTAGAGCTGCAAGAAGGGAGACAGAAGGTCTCCAGGCCAAGACAGACCTATGCCCTCTTCCCACTCTTTTTCGCAGACCTGCAAGGGAGCACATACATTTTGGTGGGGTGGCCTGGAAGTTGCTGGATGCTGATATGGGGGCAGGGTAAGGGGGGGGAGGAAGAATTGTGTGGCTTTCATGCAGGCATAGTAAGTTGTGCCACTGAGCAAGCAGTCATTGTAGAGACGCACTCTGCCTTAAAGAGCAAATGGGCCAGGTCATCAGACAGTGACATTTTACAATGTTGTCACCTTCAGTGGAGCTGAAACGGTAGTGCCAATTGTCTACCTAGAGGGAAATTTGACCCAGTGTCTCTACATCCCACCCTCTGTTTTTGTATCTTGGTAAATTCTGGCTTTTCCATTGTGCATTTACTATATCTATTTAACTAGATACCTACGTGATGTCCATCCTAGTTTTATTCAAACCCTCTCTCCTCTTTTCCCCTCACTGCCCCTTCTCAGTATGACTCTGGCTTCCGAGAACCATAATTTAGCTCTGCAACATCGTTGCATGTACAAAAGGCAACATTTGCATAAAAGCTTTATTTCTGCATCAAGAGCGCGTGACCATGATATCCAAAGTCAAAGTGGAGACTTCTACAAGTGTTGCTAGGAGCCTTGGATGTGCTGTTTAGAAATGATTTGAGCCCTGGGAAAATGAAACCACATACCAGAATCCCAGCAAGTTGGGTTCTTGGAAGGGCTCTGTTTTCTACCCAGTCTTTGCTTCTGTATATTAGAAATTCTGGCGTCAAAGGGAATGTCTACATGAGATGTTTAATGTGCAGAAGACTAATTCTGCTGCGCATTAGCATGGCGGGCAAAGCCCGTGCTAATTGCAGAGTAGATTTAGTCTAATATGCAGTAGTGTCACAAAAAATGTTCATCTGCGCTAATGTGCAGTAATGCTGATTATGGTAAATTAAGTTAATACCTATCATTACAGGTTCTAAACTTAATGCACCATAATTACAGCGCATTAATAAACATGTAGATGCATCCAAAAATATGTGGGTAATGGTGTAGGCTCCAAATTAGAGTTGATTAAAAATGAATTTACAAAGTGTGATAGGAATCAAAATGTTTATTTTTTAAGAAAATCCATTACTTTTCAGTAAATTCTCCAGCAATGACTCATAGGCACCAAGCAAGCAGAGAAGGACCAGGAAATGAATTTAACCAGTCTAGTCTGGGGTGGCATAATAAGAAAACAGGTGACAGATGAGGAGAAAAGTAAATTAAGTTTTTAAAATGCCCCTTGTTAGAACGCGGAATGCTATTGTAACACTCAACTGTGCGGGCCTAAGGTAAAGGTGCTGGGATGGGAGTCAGGAGTCCCGGCACCTGATTCTCCAGTGCCCTGCACTTTATGTCATTGGATGCACTGGGACCATTCTGAACTGGGAGTATTTTGCACTCACTTTACCCTTGTGTCAATGAAGACACAGGTCACATTTAATTCCACCTCTTAGGTGTGTAGATGACTGCAGGCACCTAGATGTGATTCTATCCTACCCTCCTTGAGTCCTGAAAAAAAAAGTTACTGCAAAATGTAGGGTGGGTCTTTGAGTCGCAGAAAAGCAATGAGAGGACAGTCTTAAGGGTCAGATGACAGTGGTACAAAGTAGAAGCTTTTGTGGATTTTTTAGGGCATGAGCAGGATGGACTAGAATTGCACTTAGGTGCCTAAATCGAATTACACACCCCATAGGTGGACCAGAATCTGGCCCAGAGTGTCACGCACTGGAAGGGCATTTGTTTCATTTCCTGGCTCTGTTGCTGACCTTGTTTGACTATCTCCAAGTCACTTCTCTCTCTACTTCTGGTTCCCTGCCTGTAGATGGGATAGCGATTCTGACTTTCCTTTGAAAAAGCACTTTGAGATCTATGGGTGTGAAATATGCTGTGCACAAAGTATTATGAATAGAGTGCTCAATCCCAGCCCGGCCACGCATTTCCTGATGATCTGATCTAATAACTCACACGGTGCAGTCTCTTTAATTTTGAAACATTGACAAAAAATGTCCCCACATCCATTGCACTGGCAGTATTCCGGGTGCCAAGTTTGAACCCATTTTCTAGCAACCGTGCAGCTGCGACTGTGGAAGTGCTAATGGAAACAAGGCTCAGCTGTCAAGAAAGCCTGTCATAAACATCAGAACCCTGTCAACACGACTGCTTCGGGTGTTGCTAGCAGAGCTGAACCCTGGCTGCAAAACAGGTTGCAACATTTCTTGCTGTAGATGAGGCCTCAGTGGTCTAGGTGCATTTCAGCTGATATACTTGTGTCTCTGTCGCAAAGTCAGTGGAGTTACTCCAGATTTAAACAAGAGTAAATAGAAGCAGAATCTTGTCCAGATCACATTGTGTAGCTGTGTACAAGATGCAGAGTTTCCTTATACATGTGCAGTTCCATACTCAGTTTCTCTGTTGGAATGACAAAGGTCCCATCAATAGTTACTTATTACCTGCCTTGCTCTGTTTAATCCTGTAGCATTTGCACGTATGATGTATAATTCAGAGCTCTGATCTCCAGCACAACATGCGATGCTCCAACCCAAACAGACTCTTTAAATGGAACAAAGTTGCTAGTTAAAATGAAAAGAGGGGTTCTTTTTTCTTTTATTATTATAAATGTTCATAGTCCACAGTGGGCTCCAGGCTTGCAGGCACTGAAAGGCTTTTGGCAGCTACTACAGTGACACTGAGTTTCCAGCATTGAAACATTTATTAGAATAACTCAGTCTTGTTAGGCGCCTGGCCAGCTGCTCTGCTCTACTGAACAAATCAAAATCAGTTCCAGTGTTTGGAGTGAAAAGGTAGCTGGACGGAGGTCTGCCTGCTGAGGAGATTATGCGTGTGCGTGCGTGTATATATATATGTGTGTATGTATATATATGTGTATATAATTAATATATATGTATATATGTATATACATGGCTTACTGTGCATTCGCACACACACGCACACACACACACACACAGATGTAATTCAAGTCTTGTACATAAACTAAGAGGGAAGAAATGAATTTACTGGTTGACTTTGCACATTTGAGATTTTGAAATTCTGCTGAGACTTTGGACCAGACCCTCAGCTCTTGGGATCCACTGACATCAGTTGAGGCTTTGGCCCCTTTTCCCTTTCTTGACCGTTGCTCAAAAAAGGCCTGATCCAGAGTCTGTTGAGGGAAAGACTGATGAATTTCATTAAGTTTTATATAGGCAACACAGAAAATTTGACACAGATGCTCTACTGGAAAGCCTTCTGCTACCAAGATGCCCAGAGGCCATGTTGGGCTATTTGGAGCTATTTCTAAGGATATCCTATTTGCCAACTCACCCTTTCTTCCATGCAGTTTGGCCAAAGTAGACACAGAGAAGGACCTGTTGGCTAAACCTACATAGTGATTTCAGAAGCCTCTTACTTGCTCCCTTCTAACCCCAAGCATCTTGTGCCTCCAGCTCAGTGGACATTTCTTAGCAGCTACAGAGAAAATTTCAGTCTGGAATATCACCTTTTTTATCTCCTTGCTTTTGGATTTAGAACCAGTCGTCACAAAAGATTTTGGTGCGCTGCCCAGAATTTCTAAGATCCAGCTCCCAGATCGCGCTCAACGCATTTCCAAAGGCCTCAGGGGTACCAGTGACTTTATGAGCATAAACCACCTCTCATTTGGGTCCCTAGGGTCTAAGTCATAAATATACAGTTGACAATCAAACCAGACAAATATGAAGAATAAAAATATATATATCCATGCTGTTTGGTAAAAATTGCTTTTTAAAATCACTTATGAAGCAAAGTACTTATGTCACACTAATGTTCACCACCCTGTCTCCAGGATAAGATGCCACCCATTGGTTATTCTGTAAATAAACATGAAACAAACTTGTATAAAAACAAAAAACACATTGATATACATCCAAAAATACCCCTTTCCAGAAGATTTCAATAATTGGGGGGGGGGAAACAAATCCCCCCCCCCCCCCCCACCCTGCTCTCCTTTTTTTTGGAGCTGACTGAAAGCCCCACGAGGAGAATGAAAACTCTTTGACAGTAGATGAAATTCTAGGATGTTTTACTATCCAACGACTATGGGAGGGGGAAAATGCATGTAAATATTTTTAATAGGAAACATATCTTAAACAGATTTTTTTTTTCTATGTACATAACTCTTCTAGAGTTTAGTACTTAAATTGCTTCATAGTGTCTGTTAAAAACAATAAATAAATAAATAAATAAAATGTTTGTTAATTGTTTTTGTTCTTACTCAATGGCCAAAACTTTAAAATTAAAAAAAAAAAAAAAGACTATAAAAATAATCTTTGCCAATGGATCTAGCACTGTAATGGTACTGTTTATTTTTTTTAATTATTTCTGTGCTGTGCCCATTTATAAAAGGAAAAAAAAATAAAGTCATTTAAACATGGATCACCGGGGGCTTTGCTTGTGTTTTGTTCCTTCTTTCTAGTCCCTGGGTTTTTGTTGCTCAGACATATGAGGAGGGCTAAACAAGACTGTAGCACTTGTTCTCCAGTTTGCCTCAGCTAGATACGATCAGGGGAGAGGCGGTGTTTAATTAATGGTCTCCATAGCAACTCCTCAGACACCTTGCAAAGCCAGCAGCAGCTCCCCTCTACACGTCCTAGCCAAATGCAACCCAATTATGTTCTGTGCTCAGCACATCAGACTTCTTCGTTCATCTTGTCGCGGACGGGAGAGCGTAACACCTGGGTCTGGCCACTGACTCTATCAAGCGCCGTGTAAAAGAGGCCTGCTTAATGATACATTTATTGATAGCTCTGTGTGTGTATACACACACACACACACACACATATATATATAATACATATATATACATATAATACACATACATAATACATATATATATATAATACATATACATAATACATATCTATATAATACATATACATAATATACACACACACACACACACACACACTTTTAGGCACACATGCCCGTCCTCAGGCTCAGGGAAAATTTTACTTACAGGTACCCCCCACTTAACACTGTTTTACTTCGTGCAATTTCGCTATAACGCTCATTTGAAATTGATACCTGATTTCACTTAGCGCTCCGTGAGTTTCGTTATAACACTCGCAGTCGTCATCTTGGGTCATTAAAAACAATTATGGTTGCTATCTTGGGTCGTCGAATACTTTAGGTTTCACTTAACACTCGTTTTGCTTCATGCTCGGCTTTTCAGGAGCCAATTAAGAGAGCTAAGTGGGGGTTGTACCATCTTTAATTTTCCCTGAGCCTGAATAAGGGGGTGTGCGCCCGAAAGCTGGTAGAAAAAGATAATTTTTTTTTGCAGTTGTCTTGGTTCAGAGATGATACCTTTCATCTAACTAAGAGTTCCAGCATTTTGCATTGCTTACACATTTTAGGAGCACTTCGCCTTTTGCCAAAATGCTGCCACTTCTGGGGCAGAACGTAGCTGCTGTTTAGCATCAGCTCAGACAAGGATCTTTGGGTAAATGTGATATCTTCAATTCGACCAACTAAACAGTTGGAAAAATTGTTCTTTGCAAGCTTTCAGCACAAACACCCTTCTTCAGGCAGAGGGAGAGCCTGCTGGGTTTTTGTGTCCTGCTGGATGGAATAAAAGCCAATATGCAAAATGCAGTTCTGTCACAATGCAAATGCGTGGCAGTGAGGATCAGAGGCCATGGGAGACGATAGATAGTGGTGGGAGAAATAGTTGATGCTGCCCTAGACAGGGGAGTGGGCCCTTGTGCTTATTGTCGGCTGCAGTTTACATCACAGAGTCACTGGGGAAACTGCATACACAGCACTCGGGACAGAGAGTGGGTTCTTCCCATGGTGCCCACCTGCTTGAAGCTTCCTCCCTGTGGTGCTAGAAGAGCTGTCCTGACTGAGCTATTGAGAAAGCCCACGAGTGACAATACTCATTACAGTATTACTTCATACTGGAGAGGCCTCTTGGAAGACATGACCCAACATCCCTACCAGGAAGGGGTGTGTGCATGTTTTTGGAGAGAGGAAAAGAAGCTTGTAGATTGGTAGTAACAAACCTCAAGGTCTCTGACTTCCTTCAGAAAAAGAAAGCCCTCCCATGTACAATACTGGGTACTCCTGAGCCCTCCATCACCAGCCCACACTCCTTTGAGGGACACTGGTAGATCCTCTCCACTCTCAAATCTTTTCCTCTGACCCCCTCTCACCACACACCCAGCTTACCATGAGAGTGGAGTCGGCACATTCAGGATTGGGGACCCAATTGTTTTCAGGTTCAAAAGAAGGGTGTGGGAGGCACTTTCAGTCATGTCCGCCCCACTGTTTGTAGGTTAGGGCACTCTGCTGGGACTTAGGGGTACAAATACAAATCTCTTGAGGCTGAGGAATACCTGGACTACAGGTCTCATTTGTCCTGGCCAAGCAGGAGAAGAGGATCTGACTCGGGATTCTTATGCTTCCCATATAGACATCTACCTGCCAGGGCACAAAAAGCTCTGCTAAGGCACACGTGCCTTATGCAGTCAGAGGAAAGTAATATTCTGAGCAGCAGGGGAGCCTTAGCACAAGTTACGAGTCGCCTTTGGAATGGATGGAGAGCTGTGCACCTCCTGTGCAGCTGAGGCTCGATCCTTGGAGGTGTCAAAATGCTGCCCATTGAAGTGAATGGAAGCACTGTGTCCCCAAACAAGGTGAAATAGGTTGGACTTCCAGGGATGCATGAAGTGCTCACAAGCTCCCCATTAAAAGTGCAACAGCTCCAGGGCTCAGCTGCATTAGGCACTCTCTGACAGACATTAATGAAGGCACTCCACTGTAGTGCCTTTACCTGAACCTTCATGTTTGAATGAAGATTCAGATTGTCGTGCGATTGGGCACTTTTAAAGTGCTCTGCAGCTGTGCACTTCTGTCAGGGCATGGCTGTAGAGTGCCTTCAACAGGCCGATCCTGCAACAAATGTAACTTCTATCTGCCCTTTTGTATCTAGCCCCATGAGCATGTTAGGTGCTTGCTTTGCTGGCTATGAGATGGTAAAGCTGGTGTTCCAGTGGGCTACAGCAACAGCGTCTCTTCGCCTGTCTGCCGAGCAAGGGCAACCCAAAAACATTCTTGCCTTAACAGATGAAGTATGAGTGATGGGATGCAACCTAGGACTGCAAGATGTGAATTCCAGACCTGTTCCCATGTCTCTTTTCACTTCCTAAGCAATCACAGATAACTTAAAAGTTTAGCCTGTAGCAAATGTTGCCTGGTTTTAATGAAGACAGTCATACATATTCCAGTGGTCTCTTACCAAGACTTCCACTTGTCTGACTTCAGGGTCTACCACAGTTTGAGCACTAGGAGATGGGATGGGGCTAGTCTCTTAGAGAACACAGAGCCCAAGGGCTGCGTCTGAAGGACCTGTCATTTTGGTTGAGAACATCGTGCTATCATTCGACTTCTGGCATCACTGCCTGCCACTGCAGCAGAGGACAAGCCCCTGCCCCCCTAATCCAGATGTGAGGGGTGGGGAGTGGGGCAGGCACAGTGTCTGTCTTTACTACAACTCTGCATGAAGCTCAAAGTCATGACATCTTTTTATCCATATCACCACATCAGCTTTCATAGTTATCCACTTTGAAACAATCCAGCCACAGTAGCTGGGCTTAGTCCCCCTAGGACTGTGAGCGCCATGTGTTGTGCTCCCTGTACACTGCATAAAGACATTTCCATTTGTTGGGGCCACCCATGTAGTTTCAAACTTTCCTCTGGACAAACATGCAACAGCGATAATAACTCCACTATGCTGGTGGGTTGACTACCCACAGGCTTGGCAGCAGCCCCTGGACAGCTGCTGTTAAAAGCTAAGCGAATAACTGCTTGCAGTTAGGTGCTGGTGTTTGGGCTGAAGTCTTGAAACAGGCTCTAATTAATCCTTTCCCCAGTTCCTTGGGGATTTTCCCATCAGCAGGGATGGGAATTCATAGATTTCATAGATTTCATAGACATCAGGGCTGGAAGGGACCTCGGAAGATCATCGAGTCCAGCCCCCCACCCAAAGGGCAGGAAGTCAGCTGGGGTCATAGGATCCCAGCAAGATAAGCATCCAGTTTCATCTTGAAGGTGTTCAATGAAGGCGCTTGAACCACCTCCGGTGGCAGGCTGTTCCAGACCTTGGGGGCTCGGACAGTAAAGAAATTCTTCCTTATGTCCAGCCTGAAACGATCTTGAAGTAGTTTGTGACCATTCGACCTCGTCATCGTCATCCCTTGGGGCGCTCTGGTGAACAAACGTTCCCCCAGATGCTGGTGGTCACCCCTGATAAATGTGGAATGTTCCAGTCCAAGACCAGGTCTACCTTTGAGGCTCTGGTTCCCCATGGCTTGCAAGAAACGTCAGAGAAAAGTAAGACATCCATGCAGAAAGCAACATGGTATTAACCAAAGCAAGGCCATAGGAGGAATAGGATGCAGAATGACTCAGACAACATCCTAGTGCCATATCTTTTTGTTCTGTGTTTGTATAGCACCTGGCATGATGAGCTACTGGTGCAGGACTGCAGCTCCTAGCTGCTATCCCAACAAGAACCACCATCTCTCACCTGAAATACAGTGATCTAGGTACAATTTTCAAAGGGACTTTAATTGACTTAGTCTCCAAGAAAGTCAAAAGTCTTGAGGTCCATTGAAAAATGGTCCCCCTCTCTCGAGAAAAGAGGCATATTGCAGAAGTACAAAGTTCAGACACTGAACAAAGCTCTTCACTGCTAATAAGAAACCACTAAATATCTGTGCCAGCCTGAGTGGAGGGCCTAACAGTCAGGACCTGGCAAACCTTCTGTAGGAAGGAGGATTAGGCAGTTTAGGACTCTGTCTTATTTTCAGTACCTCCACTGTGTCCCTTAGCCTCCTCTATAAGGTATGGCTTAGAGAAGGTACATTGGGTGTTGCTTTCCACAACTTCTTTTGTAATGGAAAGACAAGGGGTGCCCAGTGACACAGAAAGGCCTCACCTTCAAATGTGAAGAAATATATTCATATGCAATGTGCTGTGGAACTCTGCCACAAAGGAGCCCAAGGGCCCAGAGTTTAGCAGGACTGCAAACAAAGTATATATATTTCCCTGGATAACAAAAACGTGAAGTGCTAAAATAGCAAGGGTTAAAGACTAACAAGGTTTGGAAGAGAAAGAACCATCCTGGGTCCAGGCATAAGCAATCAAGTTACTAACTGGGTCAGGAAGCAACTTTCCCCGTGAATAGGTTAGTTCATAGTTGCTTATTGCAAGGTTTACTGAAACTTTCTTCTAACCCAGCTCAAACTGGTGTCTGTCAAAAGCAGGATACTGGACTAGATGAACCCCATGTCTGATCCAGGCTGGTAGTTTCTATTTTGTGGCTGTTTGGTTAAGCACTGAAAGAGGAGGGCTTTGAACCCCTTT